CTACCCACATTTATCTGGCAGCTAGTTCTGTTGACTCAGTGGGACTCTTCCAAGCAAACATGTATAGGATTTCATTGTACAGGTTTTCAGTATACTGTGCCTTAGGAGTTTGCACATACTTCTTTCATCATGTTTAAAACCATCACTCTTAAATCACATAGGCTACATGGTAATGTTTTGTGGAATCATAAATCTGGTGGTCTGAATTTAACCTCGAAGCAGAATGGTATTGTTAGAAGTGGTGAAAGGTTTTCTCTTCATATATTTACTGCCATTTACAAAGTGCAGCAGAATGCAACATGGTTTTACCTTCAGTGTCTGATACAACAGAGATTGCTCCAGTAGAAGAGGTCACCTCCTGATCTATTTTGCAGCTCTGCCCACATGCTCACCCTACCCTGCAATTTCCTGAAATGTTTAAAGTTCCACTTCTGTAAAAGGGACTGGTCCTTGGGGGAATCTGACTCAATGCCATTACATGCTGCAAGCAATTTCTCTTATCTAAATGCTCTCTGTCTTGTGGCCTTTAGTTTCTTTTACTTGCATGACAGTTGGAATCTAGCTCTTTGAAAAACGAAACCTGCAGCATCAGAATGGCAGTTGTGTGAAACTTTGGGCCATGCTCTGCAGACCTCTTGATTCTAGTAGAAATGCTTGGAAGTAAATAGTGTCACTTGTATTCTTAGATGCTGGTTATTTAATGTGCATAATGTCTGCTGATCTTAATCTTAAACATACTAATCCACTGTGGTATAGTGGTTAGAGTATTAGACTGGATTTTGGAAGGCCTGGGTTCTACTTCCCCACTCAGCCATGAAGCTCACTGGATAACCCTGGACCACTCATGGACTCTTAGCCTAACCTACCTCACAGAGTTGTTGTGAGATTAAAATGGAGAGGAGACAAACCTTGTAAGCCACCTTGAGCTGGTGCAAGAAGAAGAGAGGTGGGGTTTAAATGCAGTTATCGCCATTGCAGCGAAGATTGTTGGAATCCACTTCCTAGTAGAAAATAATTGAAATAACCAGTTAAGAGGCTCAGCAGCAACTCAAGAAGTTGATGTTTGAACTGGCCTTAGATATGGCAGTTTCACTCCAGTGCAGCACTACATGGGCAGCATGGGGAAAATAACAGGTCTTATGCGGTTGTTAGTGCAGTTCTGAAATGGACAATATGCTATTTGCCTCTTCTGCTAAGGTACATTGTGCTAGTGCATGTGATCTCTGCAGCAACACAGTGGCATTTGCTGGTGTGGCAGGCTTTCCGGAGGAACCCACCACAGCAGCAAGCGCGTTTAGCACTTGAGGTTCAACTGGTTCAGCTTAATTCAGTTCATGGTAGCGTCAGCTAGGAGACTACCCCATGATATGAATATGGCAGGGCTGGGGTGGAAACCCAGGGTCCTCCGGATATTGGTGGTTGCACCTGATGGGAACTGGAGTTCAACAACTTCTGGAGGGCCACAGGTTCTAGATGATCTAAAGCTTTATATGCATGCTAAGTATGGTCAGTACAGATGCCAGAAATTGCAGCCTTCCTTACATGGAAAGAAGCCTAAAGTTGTGATTGGCTCTTAGGAGAAGGTTGCTACTTTCCACTGGATCAGCATCCACCAATCGTGAAGAATGATGCTTCTATGTGACTGTTTTATGCCAAAGACACTGTTAACTGATTATCTGATCCTGTGTTCACTCTGAACAAAGCCCAACTCTGCTCGGTAGGGTTGCTCTCAAGTAAGCATTCATGGGACCTAAAGTGAGACTTCACCAGGGCTCAGCAAAGGAACTGACAGTGCTGTGGCTCAGCCTGGCACATGTGAAATAATAACAGAGCTTCCTTACAGCCAGCCCTCACCGGGGGAGGCTTTTAAGCAAGGTCCAGGACATGGATTTCAACCAGGCATGAGTTGTGGCTGGTCTCTTTTCTTGAAATATAGCTGATGATGTCACTTACAAGTACAAACTTATTCTTGGCTCACTTGCAGGGGCACCCAGATTCAAACAGCCTTCAAAAGCACAATTAAGCAGCAGAATGATGCTTTGGAGGAGGCTTTGTTATGGTTTAGAGCAGGGGTACAGAGTTTAGGCCCAAAGATAAATCTGGCTCTCTGGTGGCCTTAGTTTGGACCACCAGCATTCCAGGGATGGCTGTACCCTCTGCGGCCCCACCCTTTCCTGACATCTCATGGATTTTTTGCAGTTCTGAATTAAACTCTCCATCCTTGGGCAGGAAGAAGTTCAATACCCTGGTTTAGAAAAACAACCAACCAACCAACCTGGATGGTTACTTGAGTGTTCTTTTGCGAGGCAGGGGAGAAAGATGGCATCTTGGAGTTTTCTTTTGCAAGGAAAAAAGTGGGGTGGGAGAAGTACTTGAGCCATTTGAGTGTTTAGCAAAGAAATGTGCAACTCAGGAGCCTGCTTTCTTCCTTTCCTACTATACCAACTGAAAGCAGTCATTAAGCAACAAGGCTGTTGTTATTACCAAGGGAAACAAGGAAGCCCATTATCATCATGAGGCCTCGAATTCACTTTCAGGGAGGACCCACAAAGCACTTACTGGCTGGCTGAGGACCATTAATAGCTACTCTACTCAAGATAGTAGTGTGCATTGTTCAAGCCATCCTGAGCTGCACTGGTTTCTTCCGGATGCTTTTTAAGCCACCTCAGAGTCCCTAGAAAGCCCAGGCGGAGAAAGAGAGAAAGTGCTTCTTGGAGCAAAGGCAGAACTAAAAGGCTGCAGCAACCCGCCCTTGCAGAAACCTCCTTGTGTGTAAGTTCTGCTGAAAACAAACTGTAGGGCTTCATTCCACAGCAACACTGCAGATCGAGGCTTAAGCGGGGGCATTTCTCCCCCCACTGCTCCTGGAAGCTGAACCCAATAGGCTGAATCCAGACCTAGTCATAACATGGCATATTCACTGAAATCAATAGGACTTAAGTTAAACTCAAGTGGATTTCAATGCAACTGCTCCAGGTCTGGATTGAAGCCAGTAATAAATAATAGACAAGTCACTGCCATCCTGGGAAAAGCTTCCTGTCTGAGCTATAGCTTAAGTACACTCCAGCAGCACTAGTTGGGGTTTATTGTGACGGTAGAAACTGCTGCTGCTGCTTCAGGAAAGCACAGAGAATCATCCCAATGGGCCAGTGTGGTGTAGTGGTTAAGAGAGCTGAACTGGGATTCCAGATAACTGGGTTCTAGTCTCCCCTCAGCCACGAAACTTGCTGGGTAACACAGCTTCACCTACTTCACAGGGTTGTTTTGAGAATAAAATGGAGAGGAGGAGCACTTTATAAGCCACTTGGGTTTTGCAAGAGGTAGGATATAAATGTAATAATAATAACACCTCTGTTACCATTGTAATTCTGTCCACTGCCCAGAAAGCCCATGTAGGTGCAGTTTATAAAATTAATAAATAAGCAACATAACATTCAAGCTTGGTAGGATGGGCTCTTAGACTGCAATTCTGGATGTAGGATGGGATCAAGCCCTGTTGAACCAAGTTAGACTTACTTTTGAGTAGAGTGAGTAGGTATTGCCCAGGCTTTAGGAGGGGAGAACTAGTCTGAAAATTTTGGCTGGGGCAAAAGACCAAGCTTACATCTGGGATGTGATGCAGGAAGGCAGGGCATTCTTGCCTCACATGCAATTGTCTGCAAGCAAATATGCTCCATGGCATTGAATAGGAGGTCCCCCCCTCAACTAGCATCGCATAAATCTGGAGAGTGCCCTCAATCTTGGAAGTGTTAGCAGGGAAGGTGCTGGATCTTGGCTGACACCCAGCTAACAGTACTATCGGTCTTGTTGGAATTAAAACAGGATGTGGCATCAAACCATCCAGCCTCTCCATCATCTGTCAGGGATGAGAAACACTGGTTAAAACTCAGGAGAAAAATGCAAAAACTAAAGTTGGCTGTAGGAATTATTTCCTCAGCAAATAGCCTGATTCTGTGCAGAGTTAGGCTCTCCCAAGAAAGTCCATCAGTGAGTTCCCATTACAAATAAATTAGTGTTAGTCATTCTTGTGAACTGGTTGGTGCTGGAGATCCATGATTTCCCTCAAGGTAACCCAGTGAAGAAAGATTTTAGTCTGGTATGATCCTATGATTTGGATCAATTAGTTAGTTGGAGCTAATTTAAGTCCCATATATAAATTTTGATGGGTTTATCAAGTACTAGTCCGTGAAAATAAATTCCCTAGTTTCATGATAGTACTTTGAAAGTAAGCAAAATTTCAGTTTAGATTCAAAGCCTGAAGCCTCGATAGAGGCGCTTTTCAGTGCCTGGGGAAGGGAGTCGACTGCTTCACACACACACTCCATTTAAGTCCCTCTTTAAGACTTGGCTTAGCCACCACCAAGCGGGCTCCTCACTCTAAGGAAGCCATCTCGCCAGCTGGCCTGTGAGAAATTCCGCAGGCTTGGATGAAATCGAAGCCATCAAACCATGATCGAAGTCCTGCCTGCTCCTCTTAAAAGCAGAGAGCTCCGGTCACCGGGCCATCTTAAGCAATGAAGCGATGCATGGAAGCAAAACGCAAAACGCACGGGATCCCCCTTTCAGGGTGTCGGACTTACCGCTCCTGCCGGGCTGTCTCGCGCGCTCTCGCTCCCTCCGAGCCTCGGGCATGACTGGGCAGGTGGGCATGACGAGGCACCTCCCTGCGGCTCCGCCCACACCGCCGCTGGCGCTGCTTCGCCTCCGGCAAAGTTGGAGGACAGGATGCCCACGCCGGGTCGGCTCCGGCCCGGGTCGCGCGCCAAGGGCTCGCCCGACGCGAGGCTCCCATTGGCCAGCGCGCAGGCACGTGCCAGTCCCCCTGGCGCTATATTAGGGCAATGGTTACCTCGCGGCAGGCTTTGCAATGACTGGGAGAGCAGGCGCTGGTGCTCCGCGCGAAGAGGGCGCCGCCGCCGCGTAGCCGCCCTCCTTGCGCTGCCGCCTCCTCCTCAGCAGCAGCAGCAGCAGCAGCGCTCTTGACTCCTCGCGGGCGAGTCATGAACTCCTTCCTGGAGTACCTGGCGCGGGGCGGAGAAGGGCTGAGCTTGTCGGGCAAGTTTGGCGGGACGGAGTCCGGCGGGGTTGCGCTGCGGCCGCCCTGCGCCCTGTCATCAGGCGGGGAGCGCGCCTACGCGGGGCCGGCGGCGGGAAGCCTCCCGGACTTCTCGGCGCGCCCGGCGGCGCAGCAACAGCTGGCGCCCAGCGCTTTCGCCTCCGCCGGCCAGTACAGCCTGCTCCGTCCTGAGGCGCCCTTCGTGGCCCCCGAGGAGGCCGGCGCTCCCGTGCACTACGGCGCCTCCGCCTTCTCGGGCGGCGGCGCTTACCTCCCGGTGGACTACAGCGCGCTGGCCGAGAGCTTTCAGCCCTGCGCCAAGGATGCGCCGCCGTCCGACTTCTGCCCCAAGGCCAGCTGCTCCCAAGCTGCGCTCAGCACTTTCGAGTGGATGAAGGTCAAGAGGAGCGCCCCCCCGAAAAGTACGTGTCGTGCAGCCGCACTCCTGGGCGCCGCCGGGGGCATCCCCAGAGACGGCAGCGATGCCCGACGAGCTCGGGTGGGGTGCGGGGACAGATCGTGAGTTCAGACTCCAAAAAGCGGGTATCCCCGTTCCGGGAGGCTGGGCAGTTCCGAAGTTAGCCCTGCTGAGCTCCATGGGGCTTATTCTCAAGTAAACTGTGGGAACTGGGAAATAAGTTGCATGGCTATCAACGGGCTCTACTTTCGAAGGGAAAATGGCCTGATCGGATCTAACTGGAGCGGAAAAGGAACCGATCGAGTTCAACTCTTTGGAAAGAGTCGACTTTTGACTGAATATCCCCACTGGCTGGTTCGATATAAAAGTCAGGTGAAGGTTTTCTGACTTGGATCGCTGCTTCTTCCGTGCTTGTTTCTAAGGTAGTGAGCCTAGACACAGCTCTTTGGAGCAAAAGCAAGCTCTCTTGAGATCACGTAAATGCGTTTGAGATGCAGGTTCTCATCCCCTCACCTCTCCTGTCCCCTTGTGTTCTCAGTGGAGGTGGTGAAATAATAGTGTACTCCCTCCACGTGTTCAAGACACACTCACTTTTTCAGTAGAAAACAACTTGTGAGCAGAGCTTGGGCTTAAACATGTGAGCTAGCTTATGAACACTCATGGCGTAGACATTTAACCATCCCAACCTCTCTTCTTTTGCAGGCAAACTTTCAACCTATGGATCATCTGCCAGTCCTCCCAGTGCTGTAAGGACCAATTTCAGCACCAAGCAACTTACAGAGTTGGAGAAAGAGTTTCATTTCAATAAGTACCTTACCCGGGCCCGGCGAGTGGAGATTGCAAAGTCTTTGGGCCTCAATGATGCTCAGGTGAAAATCTGGTTCCAGAATCGGAGGATGAAGCAGAAGAAAAGGGAGCGGGAAGGGATGGTGATCTCTCCTCCCGCACTGACTTTTCAAGTCTCCCCCTCAGATTCGAGCCCCACACAGCTAGCTATGTGTTCTGCCCCCTCTTCTCCGGCCAAGGGCTCACCCTGATGTGGTGACTGTGTGGTAGCCCAGAAGGACATTATAAAAAGCATGAGATGAAAGACTAAAAAGTAATAATATTGAAACCAAAATTGCAAAGCTCTAAACTGTGTTACATTCTGCACATCTTAAGAGAAGAGAAAAATAAGACAATCATTGCACTAAGATTTATCAGACTACCCATGGGAAAAGTTTGGCTTTATTTTGTTTGGAATGAATACCTGCTGCTTTACAGAGAACTGATTCAAGGCACAAATGGCACATTATGATGTTTACATTTAATTTATATGTACTTTCAGGGAAAGCCACTACATGCTGCTAAACTTTGTTACTTCCTGAGTTTATTTACAGGCTGATCGTATACCTGTTTACCGACAAGGAAGTTCCACAGGACTTACTTTTGCCAACTGTGCAAAGGATCTTTGCCTTGGTCAGCCATTTTTATTCTCTCTCTCTCTCTCTCTCTCTCTCTCTCTCTCTCTCTCTCTCATTCATTCATTCATTCATTCATTCATTCATTGTGTTTTGGGAAGGGCCATAGTGTGTCAGGCCCTTACATAGTGTGTAAGGAAAGGGGTGAAATTCTATGACAGAAACCAAAGAAAGTGTCACTGAAATAGGAAGTTACTATTCAAGTACCTTAATAGAATTTTAAAGAATAACTTAAAAAGCTTTTGTTCTGCCTTTTAAACATTCTTTTAAAATGTTAGACTTTGATTTGAAATGTGAAAAGTATATTACAGGGGCTTCTTTGTCAGGTACCCGCATGTAAATATAACCATTCACTTGATCACAGTAGGTCAAAGTGGATGAATTGATGAAGTTTCATTTCCAAAAGTCAGGCTGTGATTTTAAGCAAATGTACCTGCCACAAAGTTTAAATGCAACTTTCAGTTAAAGTAAAGTACATTGGCTTAAGATTGAACCGGGGGGGGGGGGAGCTTGGACAAGTGGAGCTATCAGTGTACGTATTGTTATTTTGGGCATTAAGCACTTCATTTGAATATAGGTTCCATTTTTGTATTAGTAAGTACAATTTTTTAAAAGTAATGTACAGTGCCGGAAAAGAATCTGAGATGAAAGGATCTGCTTTGTTTTCTGTTTATTGCATTTCTGCTCAGTTCTGGTAAATTGAGCCAAGAAATCACTTTCTTTTGGTGCAGTCTACAGCTCTCCTTTTGAAAACAGCATGACCTCACATGATATGGTTCATCAAATAGCCTACAGGATCATTTCTTTTGAAAACAGGACAATTTTGATTTTGCATGGTGCTCCATGGTATAATTAAAGGTAGTTGAATCATGCTCCACAGGAATCTCAGGAACAACCAAAAAGGAATAAAGGAGCAGGGGCAGGTTTCTTCAGATTATGGCTTATATGTAACTATTAGATTGTTCGTGTAATTTTAAACTGGGGCTTGGTAAAGAATATAGTTTTCTGTTCTTTATTTAACACAAAGTCTGAATTTTCCCTGTTACAAATTACTTCTGAATATGTTTGTGTATGTATGTTCAAGGGTGCATGTGCACATGTGTCGGCTAACTCAGATCCTGCCTTAATTATTTGAGAAACACAATCATCATAGTTACAAACAAAAAGAACAGCCACAATGCACTGTGTCTCAGGTAGTCATGCAAATTGGGAGTTAGGATTTATCCTCTTCTGTGAACCATTTAAACCAAAGTTCATGATTTTAAGAATGAGTGAAACTTAAGAATAAACTTTGATTGGAAACCCTTCCCATGTTGTTTGGTTACTGTACCATTGGTTTTAATGCAATCTGTATATCAACAATTTAAAGCTAACCAGTGATTTTAAAAACGGAGAATCCTCTGAGGCTTTTGATATTTCAAGTGGCCTCTGGACTCCCATTCCAGAGCTCTTTAATATGCCCCTTTGAGTGACATTAAGATCTACACCAAAGCTATTGTTAATGGATTGCTAACATCTCCCTTCAAGGAAGGAAACAGCTCGTGCAAGGAAATCCTCAGGTGCTGAACCTGAGTAAATCCCATTACGGAATGAGCAGAAATAAACCGCCTTAAATCTAGGTATTTTTTAATTCAAGCCTGCAACTGGAATAGAATAAGTCCAGAGGAGCAACTTGGGACTTACTCCTAAGAAAGCATGCACACAACCAGGATGGGATGCAAATACATTGTGCTTCAACCTGGAAGGAGGAGGCACATTTGACATCCCCCCCTCCCCCAGCAGAACAACTCTACCAGAATACTTTAGGATGCAAGCAATCTCCAGTTCAGTATCTGGTGCAGTGGGTTGTGTTTCCTATAGTATTAGATTTATATCCCACTTTTTTCTTATAACAAACTCAAAGCAGCATACACCATTCTCTTTCTCCTGCTCTCAATCTTATCCCCTCAACAACAGCCCTGTGAGGCAGGCTGGGCTGAGAGTCTGTGACTGGCCCAAAGTCACCCAGTTGGCTCCATGGCTGAGCAGGGACTAGAACCCAGGTCACCTGAGTCCCCGTGCCAGGCTCTTAACCACTACACCACAATGGCTCCCCAAGAAAGATGTAGGATAATCTGACTGCTGTTTCCACTATTTTTGATTTCACATTAATGCAGCATAATCCTAAGCACATTTTATTTTTTATTTATTTATTTATTAAAACATTTTTATGCCGCCCCATTCACCGAAGCCTCGGGGCGGCTTACAACCCTAAGTTAAAATAATTATAATATAAATTAAAAATATAAATATTAAATCACATCTGAGTAAAAGACTCATTGTGGTTCTCCATTGTGGTTCTTCCTGTGCCAGTGTCACTAAATATTAGGTGCTATTCCACTGTACGTATCAGAGAGACCTCAAAGCCTGAATTGACCTTTAATTTCATTCATGAGGCATTCCCCATATAGGGGTACAATCCAAAACCCATTCACTAGGGAGTAAGTCTTATTGCAAATTAGTAAGGGTTACTTCTGAATAACCATGCACAGGATCGCACTGGCTCTAACACAGCGTTACCACCACTTCTTTACTTAAAAGCTAGTTATCATTTAGATCACATGAAGATGGTTAGACACTCCCTGTCTGAATAAACGTAGCAAGAGAATTGCCCGGCATGTTTTAATGTGGAGTTCTGGAGGAGGAGATGTTGTAAATATATGGCTGTTTTCATTCCATCCGAGACCCTTGAAGGAAGATGGGGGTCAAACAGAGTTCATGAGAGAGGGGAGGAGGCTTCCTCTTTTACTCATGCTATATTTCTAAAAGCTGTTTAACACTGGTAGCCCCCAAAGCATCTGAAAGGTAATTCTGAGCACAGGCATTGAGGCTACAATCCAATGATCACTTACCTGGGAGTAAGATTCATGGTATCAAAAGCGACTAGCAGGTAAATGCACTTGGATCAGACTACAAGAGGAATGATGTTAATACAAAACAGAAGTGGCGCTGTAAGACTAAATGGGTTTATTTGGAGTATAAATATTGGCTGATTAGGGTTTACCTCTTCAGAGGTAACACAAAACATTATTCTTAGTTTGCAGGTGGCGCAGTGGTTTAAAAGGTCGCCGGTTCAAATCTGCACAACGGGGTGAGTTCCCGTATTCTGTCCCAGCTCCTGCAAACCTTGCAGTTTGAAAGCATGCAAATGCAAGTAGATAAAAAGGTACCACTTCAGTGGGCAGGTAACAGTGTTCCATTCCGTGCATTTCGGTGTTTAGGCATGCCGGCCACATGACCACGGAGACTGTCTGCGGACAAACGCTGGCTCCCTCGGCTAGGAAACGGACATGAGCACCGCCCCCTAGAGTCAGGCATGACTGGACTTCACGTCAAGGGGAAACCGTTACCTTTACCTTTTACCTTTACACAGGCGCACACAGTGATTTGCCATCTGAAGGCCCTGCAATTCAAGGGCAGTAGAGGTGGGGAGCATCTTTCAGCCTAAGTGCCAAATTCAATTTCAGAGAAGTTCTGGTGTGAGGAGGGGGCACTTCTAGGGTAAGTGTGGCCAAAGGCAAAAGAGCCAGTCCCCCAAATGCAGGCATATTGTAGCTTAAAGCTTCTACTGACAGCAATGAAGCCTTGGGTCAGGCATCCCAGCCTTTTATAATGGGGTAGGCAGAGGACTGCACAAAAGCTGGGGAAGCACAAAATAATGGATGGTTTGGAGAAAAGAGCACGAGGCCTTCTGAGGAATCCCAGCATGCTGGATCTGTGCCCAGAGCCTGATAATACCTACCCCTGAGATACAGGGTGTGACATTTGGGAAAGCTCATATCTTATCTAAGGTAAGTAGGTTGCCTCCTTAAGTTGCTGGCACCAAACACCAGGTGCTATTCCAGAGGGACCTCAGCGATTGAAACGGCAAGAGCAACATCCCTTTCTGCACTGTTGTCCAACAGATTTCAGTTTGCAGCGTTCAGCCACGTGGGTCTGATTGAGTGTGAGGACGCTTTTGCCTAACCTTCAGTGCTCATCCTGTGAGAAGGACATGCCACCCAATAGTTGCCTTTGGATCCCGTGTAGCAGCATCGGTCACCTTTGCATCCTAGCCATCTGCCAAAGAGCTCAAGGCCGGAGTGTGGTACACTCTGTTGCCGCAAGGCCTGTGAAGCAGGTGAAATTCTGAGAGCAAGAGTAACCCGCCTGTGGCTACCAAGGGAAGCTTCAGGGCTCAGTGAGGATTCAATCACTACTTTTCCCAGGCCACTGTTCAAGCCACTGCCCCACCCGAGCTTTCTGCTTGCAAACACCTAAGACCATAACCCTGTACGCCACATAATGGCAAGCTGTGGACACAGTCCTCATGCTGGCCTCCGCTGACTTCAGAGTCGCCTGCAGGGTCCATCTCACTGCCCAGCTGATTAGTGCCCAAAGCAGCAGGGGGCCAGTTCTTCAGCTAGGCAACTGGGCAGCAGAGAAGAGAGTGATGGGTCAGTGCTGTTAGGGCCCAATCCTGTGCACCTTTAGACAAAAGAGAGCCCTGCAATCTCCAGCATGTGTAACTGGACACACTCTCCCCTCTCTAATCAATG